ACAAAATGGGGGTCCCGCTATTCAGCAGAACCTTGGGCTCTTTTCCCAAAACAGATTTCCCTTTTAGGTTTTTGGGAGCGTTTTTTCCCCCTTTTTCTTGCGGGGCAATGATTGCATAAAGATTTTTGTATTTTTTCCTTTCCCCAAAAAAAAAAGAGGGAGTTTTTTTGCAACCTGGCCCCAGCCCAGGGGGTGGGACCCCACAACTCCTGCCTTGCCACATTCACTGTTTTATGGCTTTTTTGTTCTAATGCGGGGAAACCATCCAGCTCCTTTTTTACGGGTTGTTGGTTTTGGGGAAAATTGTTGGTTCCGGGGACGGTCGAATAAGGGGCCCAAATGCCCCAAAAAAAGGGTTTAGGAGGGATTTTTTTGAAAGGGGGCATTAGTCTGCACGAAAGCCCGGGCCCTAATATATTGTTTACTGTTTTTAAAGCTTATAGCAGCCCAAACCTCCACGCTGTTAATCAATTTTAAAAGTTTTCCACCATTTATTTTAAAGTTCTTGAATTTCCACATTGCTCTCATCAAACCAGTCTTTGTTCTTCCTTGAGGAGAACCCAAGGACTTCTACAGATGTCTGCAGAATGCCAGTTTTGAGTTTTTCCCCAAAGTGTTTCGGGAGAGGAATCTTTGGGGTTGCTCGCATCTGACTTCATCTGATTTAAAACTGCCACCCTTGAACTGTTTTTACAGAGGGCCCCCTCCTTTTCTTGGCTTGAGTTTAAAGTGAAGCTTGAGTTTGCAGCAAACAAGGTGATGGTCAGTATGACATTCTGCACTGGGCATCACTCTTGTGGGCATGATGTCTTTTAGGTCACACTGGCGCACAATGACATAGTCAACGAGATGTCAATGTTTAGACCGAGGATGCATCCAAGTTGTTTTCTATCCATTTTTCTGTTGGAAGATGGTGTTCATGATGATGCTCTGCGCAGAACTCTAGTAGCAAGTGTCTGCTGTCATTACAGTAACCAACACCATGTCTCCCAAGCACTCCCTTCCAGGCCACAAATCTTGGCCTACTCTGGCATTAAAATCATCTGCAGGGATGTCTTGTAGTAGGTTGTGCAGATCGGAGTAAAATTTATCTTTTTCCATGGGATCTGCTTGTAAAGTTTTGGAGTATACACTAATTAGTGTGACATATTGAAGATTATTCAGTGGGAGGTGCATAGAGATCATGCAGTCAGAATAACCTGATGGCAGGTTTTCAAGCTTGGAGACAATGGAATCTCTAATCATGAAATCTATGCCTGAAAAACAACTCTTTGCTGCTGAATTGCCTGAGCAGTAGAGGGTATACTGGTGCCATGCTCTTGTAGGCTGCTTTCCTCTTGGAAATGGACTTAACTGAGAGCAGTGATGTCAACATTTAGTCTTGAAAATTCATTTGCAATTAGAGCAGAGCAACATTCTGGTCGACCATTGTCGGGTGTGTCCAGCATGGTCCTGATGTTCCAGCATACTACATATAGTCTTTTGATACCCTTACAGGTGGGTGTGATTCTTTTCTTTACTGACATCTGACTGCATGAAAAGAGGCCTGTTGACTGTGGTTAGCCAACTGGGAAATATAGGAGATGAGCTTTGTTTAGGCCACCTTTTCTAGACCTCTCTCCATATGGAACAAACACTGCTGTCCCTAGAGAAGGCTACTTGGTCAATCAGTGTGCTGCCGAATGTTGTTGTCATCTCCAGGTCAACATCAGATGATCAATATCCTGACCTGCCTGCATGCGAGATTGGGACTGCGACTTCCAGTGTCATCATCTACCTGCCGTTTTCACCCCTCATCAATTTCTACAGGGTTTGGAAATGATTGGTAAGCACAAATGTCTTCCTCAGGCCTGTGAAGTGGAGTTTTTAGGTAAAGTGCAGTGTGCGCTGAATTGGCCCCACCCTTTGCACCTGGAATTTGATCTGCCATGGCCTAGCAAGCTGGGATGATGACAGTGAAGTCTCCGGGTTGTAGGTTTTACAGAGTGTACTTCTTTTAACCAACGGCTAGGTGTGTGTGTGGGGGGGGGAACTCCCAAGATAATTGTGCTAGACGGCTGTTGAGCAATTGCCTCACTGTAGAAGTTAAAGAAGTCCAGTGAGAAGATGTACTCTTGTCTTGAACCTATTTTTGTATAGCTACTGAATTCATTTTCTATCCATATGCAGGCAGTTTGCTGCCAGTATAGATTCTTGATTATTTCAATATCTTTCCCAAATATATTGAGGTTACTAACTAGTTCCCACAGTTCTTTTTGGTGTATTTTATCAAAGATCTTTGCATAATCTATAAAGCATAGGTACACATTCTTCTGCATTTGTATTGCTCTTTCTGATATTATTCTGAGCATAAATATCACATTGCTTCTTCTAGTGTCTTTAATGAAGTTGCTCTGTTCTAGTCCTAATTTTTGTCTGATTTTGCTGTACACACTATTCATTAGAATTTGGATGATAAATTTTGTTATATGGCTCATTAGGTTGATTGTCCGATGGAGTTCACATTTGTTTGCACCTGGTTTCTTAGACAGTGCTATGAAAATAGATCTTAGGTTTTTTCAGTAAATCACAACTGTAAAAAATTTAATTTATTATTTCTGTAATCATGTCCATGCCAAAATCATCTAAGGCTGCCAAAAAAAAAATGCCAACAATACTTACTTATAGTATATATTTACTTGAAGACTAAAATTGTGTTCAAAAAATTTAGATTTCGGCATTAAATAACCCATAGATTGCATTACCAACACTGCATCATGGATGATGCCTCAACCAAATAGATCACAGCAGCAAAAAAAAAAAAAATACAACTAATAATATTATGTATCAAAGTAAACTTCATGAAATCAGACTGACAGTTGGACTTGAGACCACAGAACTGGTGCAAGATATGGTGCTGACAAATCAGACACACACATCTCACCCGTGTACACTTCCTTAAGGGTGAAAACACACCCATGTATACTCTTCATGGACACTGATAAAACATGTCATGATATAATGCAAAGGATATGCACATATACGCCATAAATACTATATCAAACTTCAAGATACTATTTAAAAAAAAACTTCCCATTTCTCAGTTGCTAGGCGTCTGTAGAGAAATAGGTATTCTTAAACTCTTGTAGATGCACACAAAAAAAAAACTCCATAAAATGTTTTTTCTAATACAAAGTATTCATATCTAAAGTACCTCTACCTACAAAGCAGTTACAGAATAAAATAATAATGATTAAAAATTATTTAATGTGAAAACGACTTAATTCAGCATGAAATAACCCAAGAGGTTGATGTACTGGTAAACAATACTTTACCTTCATCTTAGATAGGTGAAATTTAATGTATGCTTAGACAGTCATAGTGATTTTTCTTACAGTATCTGTTGGCACATAAATCATTGTATAACTATAATTTATCCACTGGTTGAATTTAAGCCCTTTGTAATTTTTTTTTTTTTATTATTATTGTAGTTATGCAGCTCGAGCCAGTCCAAAATATGAGCCTTATAAAAGGTAACAGAACTTATTTTTCTATTGGGAAATAGTTCATTTCCTGTTGATCAAAACTTTATATATTATTTTCAGGAAAGAATGTAACATTTTTATTTTATATTAAAAAATTTACTTGCAATATAGTAATCAATTTAGTATTTAAAAAAGCTTTTAGATATTTACTGGATACTACTTTTATAATACTTTTCTATTTAGATTTTTAAAATAATATTAAATATGTATTTTTAATTTTTTTTCATGTAAGGTCATCATCATCATCAAAGTCTCGATCGAGATCTCCTGAAAATACAGGCAAAGTGATGTATATAACCAGTTTTGGTGGTGAAAGTGAAGAAGATGCAGGAGTATTACAGGGACCATCTCTTCCTCCAGATACACATCACCAAAGCAGTCGTGGCGATTCAAAAGGAGGTGGGGGAGGAAGCAGTCGTTCATGGTTTGTTTTTCTTTGTCTTTTGCTTATTCCATCAACAACTATATATATATATATATAGACACACACACACACACACACACACACTGAGCAGATGCTTAAATCTTGCATTAATGTCGGAAATATAACTATCAATATAAAAGAAAATAATATTTATGATCTATATAAGTTTTTAAGTTAGAAAATATTTTTCCTTATTGCCTACTTTTTATGAACAGAAATGAAACAAGGACTTTCTTTAATGTAAAATGTGATAAGTGCACATTTATTTTTTTCTGAGTACATACCACCAAAGAACACATGTTACAGCAGCTGGTTTACTTGTGGCATTATAAAGTTATTTCTGACAGATCCCACTTCAGCCTCTTTATATTTGAACAAATTTTTAATCATGATCAGTTCAGACTGAAAGGTTCAAGAATAAAATTTAGCTGAATCTATATTTGTTATTGTTTATATTTGCTTCATAAGTTTGTAGGAAAACAAATTATATGTAGAAATAAAATGTTATAATGTGTAGTCTGAAATTATTTTCTAATTAACTTATGGAGTTTTCAACTCTATCTTTTTGGGAGATTCTCACTATTGCTTGGCTGATATCCCAATTTTTTATTTTTTAATAGAATTTACAAGAAATCTTTAGTTTTTTCATTTTTTGTTTTTATTTTATTATAAAACAGCAATATAATAGGATTTGATACATTCTGATTAGATAGATCCTAAGAAAGCAACCCCCCCATCACCATGGATGGTGAAATCTGAAGATAACAGTGAACCATATGTATGAAGTATACCCAAATATCCCATTTTTTAAACATAGGTACCTCCAAGAGATCGCTAAAAAAGAGCATAGCATGAATAAAAATAAGGCCTTAAACTTGATGAAAATAACTTTTTATTGTCTAAATGTTTGTTATTATTAAGATCAAAGTGTTTTTGGGGTATTTTTTTACATTTTTTAATCGTTCCTAGCATGCCTGAAATTTTTGTTAAAAATCGTTTTTAAGTCAGCAAAATTGGCAGAAATTTGATCATGTCAACCATTTTTTTCCCATTTTATAACAAAAATGAAAAATTCCATAGTTCAAATTTTTTTTTTTTAAATCAATTATAATTTTTTCAAAATTTATTTAAAAAAAATTAGAAATTATAATGTTTATTTAAAATATTTTGAAACAAATATTACTTACTTTCTGCGCTAAAAAAAAAAAGTAATTCAAAAATAAGACAAAGCCGGTTTTAAAATTTGATGTCATTAGATGAGTGATTCTTTCGTCAGGTATTGATAGATTACATTGGGGAAAGTTATCGTAAGGAAGTACACAAGTGACATAATTATTTAGTTTTAAGTGAACCAACTTATTTACCTCATTATTTTTAAGGAAAACTTTCAGCAGTCTAATTTTTTTTTTTTTTTTTTTTTGTACTTAGCTTTCACCTTTACATTTACAATACTTTATGGAAAATATATTATAAAAAAAATTAAAATAAGACTGTTAAAAGTGAGATAAAATTTCATAAGAAAGGTATCTAATTAATTTATAGGTACCTTTCTTAGGAAATTTTATCAGAAGTGTACATAAAATACTATAATTTCATGTGCATTTATTGCATTTTACTGTGTTATCTGTATTTCCATTCATTTTATTATTATGAAAAAATGTCACAACTGAGATAATATAAAAATAAGATCATATAAATTCTATAAGATTATACTAATACTTGTAGGTACCCTTCTCAGTTGAAATTGAAAAATCAAATTAACTTCTCCAAATGTGTTTCAGAGGAACAATTCGCAAAAATAAAGGCCCTAACAGTGGAGTACAATGCTTAACTTAAATAACGCAACTTTTTATTGTATTCTTGCTGGTCTTTCGTACATTTGAATTACAGCCATTTTATGGACACAAAAGCCATCTGAAATTAGTTTTTTTTATACCATTGGGCTCTTCTGATTGTTATAAGCTATACAACTTATAATGCTAAAAGATAGATCTACTTAATAACACCATTGACTAAAGTGTCCACCATTTTCACTAATTTTAGAATATTTAACAACTTTAATATAAAAATAATAAAATAAGAGGCCTAAATCACTAAGTAACAATTACCAAGAATATTTCTTAACAAGGATCTTGTTATTAATATCAAGTAATTAGTTAAATAGCAACTATACCTATTTTTTTTTGTGAATTTCCTTAGTAGAGGAGTAGGAGGTTAGTTTGCCAGTAACATCTTACCCTGATGTGGAGGGTATTTAAACCATACCCTGTATAATCAGAAATCAACGTCAATGTTTTACAAAATCATGGGTCAACAAAGACAGAATATATTTGGCGTAGGGAGGAATAATGAATTTTAGACAAACAATAATTTTGATAATTTTTGTAAATTTGATAGTGATTTTTGTCACATCTCATAGTGGCTACATTTGCTTTACAGAAGATCAAGAAAATGCCTATTTCACTATGACACGATAACAGATATTATTAGTATACATAGTTTTAGTCTGAAATCTAAAGGATGAAATGTGTCACAAAATTTTTTCCCACGTCATAATTTTCCATAAAATAGTTTTAATATTAATTAAAATCAAGTTGCATTAACTAGAAATCAAAATTATTAGGGCACCCTATTGACAGGGCTTCAGAATACAGTGATTGCACCTCTGCAGTGGGTAAAAGTCCCCCAATGAAAAAAACCTGTTTGCCATGGGCAGTGACCTGTGATGCTTGATTATGGGATCCTGGTGGTTGAGGGTTTTGGAAGTTGGGCCATACATATAATTCTAAACTTGAACACACCACTTTGACTCTTATTTGAGCTAGATAGGTGGTTGGAGAGGCCCAATCTAATCAATTCACTGGTCATGCCAAGCCCCAAGTCAGACTAACAAAACAAACAAAATACACTCACCAATACCATATCAAACATTAAACTGACTTAATAAGCAGTGACTGTAGTGTCAATCAGACTGAAAACAAATGAATCTGACATGGCTGTTTCATTTTCTGAAGAAAGCCCGTATTTGGGTGGACAATAAAAATAGATATAACCAGCGCTTGGAATCTTCCCCACATTTGAGTATACCAGTCATGTAGCCCTGGAAGAATGAGGCATATGGGATTTCCCTCTTATTCATCTCCTTCACATGAGGCTTTGATCTGGGTGAGGAGTATATATAGCTTATGAATAATAATAATGATAATAATAAACAAAATATGAGCACAAAAAACACAAGAGACTACACATCGATACAGGCACAGACAGTAACACAGAAAATCAATTAAAGAAAAAAATTTTGAAATTCATAGTAACAAAACCAACAGAAGACAAACTAATTACAAAGTTGTTATCTTTGTAATAGAAAAAAAAAAATTATAGCATCTTGGATAGAGTTGGGTGGTTTGGCAATTTATGTTTCAGTATTGGTTTCCAGTTTTGTTTTCCTTGATACTGCACTTTTCGATTTGGTTTTTTGCTTTATAACGAAGCCATTCATTTTCTTATGTAATGATAGCATTTCCAGTTGATATCTGATTCCGTTTGAGATTGATAATATTTAATCTGTTCAACTCTCAATATCTTGTGTATTTCTGGTCCAACCTTAAAAATATTCACATGGCTGGAAAGAAAATAATATAATCTTTCTAAATATATAATTTGTATGTACTTTTATTCATTGAATTATTTTATTACAGCAAAATGGTATTGCTTTGACCACCTGAGAATGCAAAATATGATTTTTTTTTTTTTTTTTTTTTTGAGACTAAATTTTACATGTTACTTTGTTTCACAAAATCACTGTGACCAATCTTTATCAATATTACTGAAATTGTACACACAGAAGACAACCAGAAAGCAATTTCCTTCAAAAATTATAAAGTAAGCAAAAAAAAAATAAAAAAAAAAAAAATAATAATAATAAGCAGCAATTCTTTTCTGGTACACCAGTCAACTGTTATTGGGGTTTTGCAAATAAAGTTCTTTTAAACAAGGAAAATCAATGAGTTATTTTCCCCTAGATACACTTATGTTTTTATCTAGCGAATACATCTAAAATTAAATATTAAAAATAATTAAAAGCTTTTAATTTCATTTTTAGAATGTCTAGATTTTCAAATTTGTATCACCTGTTCTTTTTTAGATACACATTTTAAAACTGAAATTAAAAACTATTTTAATCATTTTAATATAATCTTACTTATGTGTATTATTTGTCAGAAAAAACCATAAAGCTATTTGTCAAAATAAAATGAATTAATTTTCCTTGTTTAGAAGAATTTTATAGGCAAAACAGTGACAAACACCCACCGAAACACTTGTGGCTAAAAAAGAATAATTTTTACTTTGGGTTTAAAAAAATGACTTGCAGTTTTGAAAACAGAGATTAAAACTTTATTTTTTTAATATCTAATTTTACATGTATTCGCTAGATAGAAACATAATTTTATTTGTAGAAAACGGAAACTCACATATCTGGAAATGTACCCATTATAAGTGAAATTAAGAACTATTTTAATTATTCTTAATATCTAATTTAGGTGCATTCTCTAGATAAAAAATAAATTTATATATATATAAAATCTTTATTCATTTTTCTTGTTTACAGCAACTTTATATCGTGATTGGCGTAACACTGGCTTTACTAGAAAACCTTACTACCTTACTACAAAAAATCTGACTTCATAAAATTTAACATTAAGATGAAACTGGCAACTATTTTTTTTAATTTTTACTTGTTATTTTGTTGTTAACTTAATTTTACTGCAAACATTTTTTTTTTTTTTTTAAACTGAAACAGATTTCATACATTTCTTTTGTAAACAAATAGATTTCAGATATTTCTTTTGTAAACAAATAGATTTCACATTTATTTCCTAAAAATAGTCAATTAAATGTTTTTAACATATTTTTGTTCAATCTTTTTCTCTTACAATGGTATAAATGTTGATAAAAATTAATTTTATTAACATCTGAAAGTCTTTTTCAATAGTGTTTCT